CGTTCGGATATTCGCCCGGTCCGCATTAGCGCTGTCTGGGGTGCATTGCAGGACCGTGCCTGACATCAGCATGTGGAGAGGTTGGCAGAGATGGTCGTCTTGGTCCGAGATGGCGGGTCGTCGAGCGTGATGTCAAGACTCGATGGATGCGGGGTGCTAAGCGAAGTATGATAACGCCGCGCGCTAGGAGTCAATACTGTCGCTCCGCGGTGACTAGAACGGAGGTGACGCGTAGATGTAGAAGAAAGGGCAATTAGACGTGTTGACGAGATGAGGTGTGCCTGCTTCCTTGGTTTGTTGGCCGTGTCGCAACGGCATGTCAGGGGCGTAAGGCTTGCGACTCAGCATGGGGAAGGGTCGCGACGGGTACCTTACTTCGACTGTACACCGTGTATTTGAGGAGAAATGCAAGCTGTCGGTGGCTTCTTCGATGATATCCGGCTGATTGGACACGATACTTCTGGAATAACACGATCGCCCCTTCCTGGAGATTCATTCACGATAACCTGCTACCTCGACATTCTGGGAGCAGGACGGAGCAATACTTCAGACTAAGTATACTGCAAGCAATGCGAAACTGGTTATGAAAGTTAGTGATGAATAGAGATGATCGTGGAGTTCGTTGGGAATGCGGCCCTCTGGGACCACGATTGTCGGTTGCAATGAGCAACTATCTCAGACGCACACAGACTCCGGAGCTCGTAAGCCAGGCTTGATGAGCTTTGTGTTCTAGGCTGCCTGTTTGGCGACGCGAGGGGTCAGAAACATCTTATAGTCGTAGTACAGATGTGTGTACATCATAACCTGCTCAAAAGGACTCTTCGCCTCATTAGTGCGTTCTAGAGGACTTACAGCAGCGACAAACATGTGATGCTAGATTTGTGCTACTCAAATATGACTCGATACCCAATGCTGTTGGTCAATAAGAGGTTGGTGAAACTAGAAAAGCAGAGCGTAATGTTGTTTCGACTCGCGACTTGCGACGGCTGGAGGGATTTCAAAACGCGCGAGCTGCGCAAGCCCGTTCCGCGGAGCCCAGTTTGGCATGTACATCTCGCGCTGATGATGCAAGATCTGAGGATCATTGGAAGAAGGATATAACGGCTACTCATGTTCATTGTCAAGACCAACGTGGCGTTGCAGCCGATACCTAGGTACGCGTAAAACCCGCCGCGTCCTAGCGTGTTGTGATCGCGGCTTCCCTCCTCGATACCTCTGATCGCCCACCAGAACACTATCACCAACGCTCTGTGGTGACCTCTGTCAGAGCATATATTAAAGTTATGCCGCTCGCAGCTTCCTTAATGTCGATGGTGCCGATGCGATCCGATACGCCCCTCCACAGGAGGATATGCGATCCCGACAGCGGCACTGCCCCTTGTCGCGAACCTTCATCGCTGGGTGGAGCTATGACCACCACAACGGGGTCCTGCGAGTACGAGCAACCCCAGGTACCATGAGCATTCGCTGTTTCGCTCCGTATACAGCTTAAAGGTATTTCTCATTTGCTCTGCAAATGGTTCCTGAAAGCGAGTCTCCTCATACCGGAAGGTCAGTCCACCTGGGTACCATTGGCGGAGCAATACGCCGCAGGCCTAGCAAGCAATGAATCTCGATTGAAGGCCACCGACCAATCCAGAAAGGTAGAGGCATTGAAGCACGCAATCTGTATCCAATGCAGTATACATGCTTCGTGAGCATCGTAGTAACAAGTGGGGTTGCACATTATGACGGCGGGGTTGAGCAGGTATGAGGTAAGACGCTCGTCAGGGAACAACATGCGACGCCCCAAAGGCTTCCAGCTCGAATAACATCTATTCACTATTTGGACTGCTTGATACAACAGAAGAAACGGCGTTCTTATCATATTTAACAACATGTCCGACTACAGCGATTATTGTTGCAAAAGGCGAACGATTCAGCAACTTCCAGTCCCCGCTCGGAAGGGTCACAATGCCATACTCAACTCCAACTACTTAGACGATATTGTCGACGCGATTGGTACATGGAGCTGCCAGCGCATCCTCATAGTGCACTCGAAGGCGCTTCACGAGAACACGGATATTGTCGAGAAGCTGAAAGAAAAGCTGGGCTCGTTTGTTGTAGGGACCAAGTCGGGGGTCGGCGCTCACTCTCCATACGAAGACGTACTGGAGATCGCCAGACTGTTTCAGGAAAAGAACGCAGATTGTCTGATCAGTATAGGAAGTAGCAGCTACTCGGATGCAAGCAAGATCGGTCGCTTGATGCACGCGAATCTCGCTCCAGACAACCTCACAGTTGAGGCCATGGAATCCTTGGTAGACCAAAAGAAGGGAAGTGCAATTGATCTAAAGGACCCAACGACAAAACTCATCCTCGTACCGACGAGTCTATCCGCAAGCGAATGGAACAACAATTCATCTGCAACGAACCCCAAAACAAAAAAGAAGCAGCATTTCGCAAGTGAGCATGCAGCACCAGACCTCATCCTCCTGGATCCTGAAGTAGCGTCCACATCGCCTCGGAAGTTGTGGCTGTCGAGCGGGATGCGCGCGATAGATCATTGCGTCGAAACGGTATGTACTGCCCTCGGAGTTTCGCAAGGTAGAGACTGTATTGACACTGTGTCATCAACAGATGCTCAACGCTAAGTGCACCCGAGAGGTTTTTCACCATATGGAAGATGCGCTTGTAATCCTATTGAAAGGGCTGAGAAACTACAAAAACGGCGAAAGCGACAGCAACCGATCCGAGCTGCTCGATGGAATCGGAAATTGCCAGATAGGTTCTAGGAACGCGATGATGGGTCTCATACTGTGGAGCGTTCCGATGGGGCTTTCGCACGCCATTGGACATCAGCTGGGAAGTGTATGCGGCGTTATGCACGGCGTCACGTCTTGTGTCATGCTCGCCCCTGTTCTACGGTACAATGCCTCGAAGTCGGAGAAGCAGAGAGAGGTACAGCAACGCGTGCTGGGAATCTGGAACAAGGTCCTTGAAAGCGACGAGCCAAGCCTTGCGGATGCGGTGGCCAACTTTGTGAGAAGCCTTGGGTTGCCGAGTACGCTGAACGAAGTAGGTGTTACGGAGCAAAAGGAAATTGAGAAAGTAGCGGAGCGCACCATGACCGACGTGTTCGGAGCGATGGAAGGTATGGGCGAGAAGGAGGATGTGCTGGCTATCTTGGCTTCAGCAAATGCCCAAGGTACCGAGGATGGAGGACTGGAAGGAGGCGCACCGATGTAGAACACGCTCTAGGTAGAACAAACGTAACACTCGCTTATATCAGCTGCGCTCTCGACTTGCCCTTGGGGAAATAATGCAACCGCAGGTCACCCATCGGAAGCTTCTCAGACTTTGCTATATCTTCCATAATGACAGTCGCCAGCTCAGTAGGAAGCTGGCCACCGCCCCATTGCCTCATAGTCCTCCAAATCTCGTATATCCTGCTGCTTTCGTGCAGGAACTTTGTGGATCGACGGAACCAGCCAGCGGTCATGTGCTGAGCCACAGTGTACGAGCGGGCAAATCCCCACCTCTCCCAATCTTGCAGATCTTGCGCGGCCCATATGGGGAGTAGATCACTAGCCCTTGACAACGCTAGCGTTACCGGTGCCGTAGCTTTGTCCCAAGCAATGAGTTTGGGGGTTGATGATGCAGATGTGCGCGGTTGGGTAGAATGCGAGGATGGTGGATCCCACTGATCCACACAAATCGTCAACAGCGCATCATCCAGAATCCAATACAGACTCTCGCGTTGACTGTGTAGGAACCGCTCCAGTCCAACGTCGTTGTGTCGCAGAACATTAACACCCCAATCCACCAGTAAACATGCCGCCTCTGCCCACGATGCTGGCGCGACGTCCACCAGCTTGTGCACGGTCGCGGCAAATTCGCGAGTACGATAGAAGAGCATTTGGTATATTTGCGGGATGACAGTCAGACCATGAAGATCGGCTAGGGTAGTGATGTTCATGGACCGGATGGCAAGGTCCATGGTGTAGGTGGGGTGGTGAGACCCGCGGTCCCACGGTCGCAGAGTAGGGACGCGGAATTGTCCATCTTGCGGCAAGGGATCAGAGCCTAGACGTGGCGGAACCTTGGATTCGGGAGGTAGATTTAGCGCAGGCATCATGGTGACCATACCAGCTACAAGGCAGGCCAGAGTGATGTAGGAGCGACGATTGTAGATGCTGCTGATCGCGGCCTTACACCAAGTGAGCTGAGCTGAGCTGAGCTGAGGTTGTTTCGTTGGGAAGCGGGGTACACAGCCCCTTCCAGCTAAGGGAGTGCACGGAAACCTATGGGATAACGTTTCAGAAAGCGTGCCTGAGTGTGAAAGGGTCCCTCACGTGGCAGTGCGGCTCCTGCCCATTCGGCACGCTAGCGCTCTCCGACGCCGGACAGCCGGCAGCTCTGGACGCGTACGCCCCATCACACATAGACCCTTCTCCATACAGCCCTTCGATAATCGCGTGTTATTCGATCATTCGCGCCGATCATAAAATCGCGAGGCCCTTCTCAACAGAGTCAATTCAATCGCGCATTCTTGCCCGTATACCCATGTCATATGCTCCGATCTAGCCCGTTATGGGTGTCGATCATCGCCCGCGATGACAATGGTCAACCACACGAATCACCCGTTCCGAATGTCGAGAGAAGAATGCGGTGGACAACAGAGCTTCAAAGCTTCTTAATGGATGTATCTCGCGGGGCAAGGTATCATCGTGTAATGCAAACCCTCATTCTGGGCTCAATACATCGAATATATCTCATCATGATCAAAATGTAGTCTGTGGCACCATGTCCCCTTCATGCAATCATCAATGCTTCCTACTTGATTTGAAAGCTCGTCCGTCAGTATAAGAAGGTGACTTCCCCATTCTAACATAGCAACAACCAACTTCTTTACATCCTCAAGATTCAGAGTTTCTTCTCTAGCAACCTTTTCTCATCCTTCATTCTGACCTAAGGGTCAAGCAACATACAAGATGATGAAGCCCTCCTCCATCATCACCATGTTCTTCTTTTTCTTCGGTGCGGTCTTCGCCGCTGTCGTCCCTCCTTTCGTCACCTCTGCCGCATCCGCCATCTTTGCCACACCTGCCCCCCGTTCCGAACCCCTCTGTGCGCCTCTCGGTGACAGCACTGCCCCGGAGCCATCCTCCAACGCTCTCTCGGCTTTCACAGATGACGAGAAGTACGACGAGTTGGCCTTGACGGCCCCAATTCCTGCCGGCTACACTGCCACCATGAAGAACGCAAACTGTGCCTTCTCGTCCAACAGGTACATGCTGTACGTTCAACTGGACTCATACAGCCCGGAGGCTTGCGCCGAACTCTGCAACAACCATGAAGGCTGCGACTCCTGTAAGTTGTACCCTTTGGCATGATGTTATTATATAGCAAAGCTAATCATCTTCCTCTATGTAGTCAACATCTACATCCAGCGCAGCCCGTCACAGATTCCCGGACCTGCTTGCCCCAATCCTGCTCCCATTGCCGTCGCCCAATGTGCCCTCTACTCCCTGCCGGAGGATGCATCTTCTTGCACAAACTTCGGTCAGCACATTGGCCCCGCCGATGCCAACGGTGAGGCCTTCAAAACTGCTATGCGCAGCTCCAACGGTACGTTCTTCGCCTATACATCTACGTACCAGCTCAAAACTAATCAGTGTACGCAGCATACAACAAGATCGCCGTCAAGCAAGTCACCGTGACTGTCACCACTACCCACCACATGCACACGACCTTCACCAGGCTTGTCTCACGGAGTGATATTTCACGGAGGGATATCGCCACTACTATTGACAATGGTGATCGAACAATCAACATGACTACTACTGTCACACACACTCGTTCTGCAAAGTCCAAGTCTGTGGCTGTTGGAACCCCGGCTGGTGTTGTCACTGTCACTCAGTCGGCAAATCCTGCGTCTTACGTTGGTACGGTCACTGTTACCCGTTCGGCAAACCCGACTGCACATGCTGGCACTACAACCGTTACTCGGACCAGGTCAACTCCCACTGCTCACGCCGGCACTGTCACTGTTACCAGGTCCCAGAGCGCAGGCGCAACGCCCTCCCAGTTCCAGTCCGTCATCTACACAACCGTCACATCCTACTACGACAAGCGCGCCGAGCCGTATATTGCGCCTGCTGATTACGTCACTGTCACTGTGGAAGGAGAACCTACATACGTTGACACTACGACCACGACCATCATTAACACGTCTGGCGTAGTGACCGTAACTACCACTATCCCCAACACCCTACCCGCAGAGACCACGACCATCACCATTGATGACGCTGAGACAACTACCTACCCTGGCAAGCGCACCCTGGGCCCTGCTGTCAGGGCTGAGGCAATGAGCACTTTCACGATTGACGAGAACTACGTGTACACTGGTCCTACGGATGTGCCTATGAAGACCTATACTATCTACCCAGACCACTAGAGTGAGTAGTAGAGGTGCATCTGACTTTCTTGTGCTTTGGAAATTCGCTGGACTTAGCGCGGAGTCTGGCGTTAACAAGAGAATTGGATTCTGACTGTGCGGGTTGATGGTGTCTTGACTGCTTGCGCTGTAGACATAACTAGCTAATGATAACAACCCGTAAAACAACTTGTGACTTGCCCATGATGCAAGTTAACACCCCTTCTCACTCCCCAGCACAATCATCGCAAAACCACTCTCCCTCTGGAATTGTCTTGGAAGTCATCCCGATGCAGGCAAAGTGGAACCACTCGCCCGCGCAATCCTCCCCATCACACCCCACCATCCCACCAGTCTCGCGACGACAGTCTCGAACGCAGTAGCGGCTTGACTCCGACTCCGGCTCATCGTCGCCGCCATCCTCGAAACCGTCCTCAGAAGCAGAGGCGGAACCATCGTCGTCGTCGGCAACCAGGATTGGTGTGTCTCCACTGGCACCAACAGCAGGAAGCCCGGCGACTACATCGTCCTCAGCCTCCTCAATCTCCACACTCTCTGCGTCGTTGTCGGCGCCAGGCTCCTCAGCGAGAAGCTGCTCGACGACCGCAAGGGGAACGTCGGCGGCAAAGGCTACGAGCTCAGCCATCTTGCGCCTCTTGCGCGGCATGTCGTCGTCAGACTCATCTGACTTGCGCTTGTTGGAGGGAGGCGCGCAGGACGGACAAGACCAATGCACAGGGCGATCTTTCAGCCCTAAACAGCTGAGATGGTAGTACCGGGGGCGGCACCGGCGGTTGACGCACCCAATTATGGGTGTGAGGTAGGTGTTTGGGGTGTCGCAGGTGCAGATGCCGGGAATTGGAGGAGGAGCGCCAGCGCTTCCAGAAGTGGCTTGCTTGGTGATGGTAGAAGTCATGATGGCTTTTGTGAGGAGAGATTTGAAGATTGTATAAAGAAGTGGCTTGGAATTGGTACTGGTAAGAGGAGATGGGAGTAGAGGTTGCTGGGAGAAAGTAGGAGAGGCCAGAACTACTTGATATAAGGATGCCCAGGGCCGTACTGCAATGCTGGTCTATTGTTCCTGTGATAACAATAGCGAGGTGAGAATACTGCGACGACAATAGCGCGGCAATGAGAGCGAAGTGAAGGTGGAATTCTTGGCACTGATGTGAGAGACGAAATCGCAAACCCCATGTAACGAACAATAGGCGGAGCATTTGCAATAGTCGCAAACAATCCTTCCTGCGCTCTCACAGTACATATTATCCTACTCTCCGTGACCAACGATCTGCCTCCTCCCATGTACACCCTCCCACTGCTCCCAAAGCCCCTTCCAAATGTCTCTCTCACTTCTGCCTAGACCGGCGAACATAGCGTCTAGTCCATCCTTGTGCAAGCTCGCCGTGCCGATAACTTCCCAGATGCCTGGCATCAACTTCTCCCTCACCTCTTGATCTAAGCGTCCGTTGAGCTGGAAGCGGCAGAACGATGCGAGGAGAGGGTACAGGAATTTGCTAGCCTTGTCGCGGGCTGCCTTGATGGGGTCATTGAGGTCTTTGGAGTTACGTGACTGATGATGCTGGTGTGCCTTTGTGATAGAAGATTGCGGTGGGTTGCACAGAGTCGAGAGAAGACGCGTAAATTGCGCTGCATTTGCGGGTGTGAGACGCACTGGCTCCGTAGCTGTGACGGTACGTAGCCACGAAGGCAGAGCGCCACTGCGACTAGCATTCGGGATGAAGAGGCAGAACAGCAGGCCTTGCAGAAGTGGTAAGAGGAGGTGGAAGCGTCCCCCTAGGCGGCCACGGTGTACGAGTAGGGTGAGGCGACTCGTATGGCAGAGCCTTGAGAAGATCTCAGGAGCATACTGAGATGACAGTACGGGGCTGCTTCGGGATGTGAGCTTTACGAGTACGCTGAAGACGCATTCGATACTGTGTTGTGAAGCAAGCGAGGGTTTATCGTTTAGAATCGTGTCAATGCAGCCGATCAGAGCGTTGAAAGAATCATAGTCGGGGCTCTCGGCAAGCAGAACGCATATCCTAGGTAGGAGTGCAAGCTGCCTCTGCTTGAGCTCGGCGTTGGACTCCAGCTGGTCGTCCACGGTCTTGATAAGATCGTCGAGGATGCGGTAGGACGCGGCAAGGTTTGGCTGTTTTTGATCAACAGTCATTGTTGGAACCAAGTCTAGCTTCTCGTGGAAGGCAAGCGGGCCGAGCGTATTGCGCAGTGTTGTATACACGTTATCTTGTATGCGAACTGGGCTACTTCTGAGGACGGTGAGCGCCAGGCTGATCAGCCACTTGACGTCTGGGTAGATCTCGTATTTGGCGATCAATGTGTATACTCGTGCGAAGTAGTCTATAACTTCGCTCGGGATGAGAACCGATGAATCGATGTACTGCTCGAGGTCAATGGCGTCCTTGAGCCATGTGCGGAGCCATGCCTGCACGCGGCCAAGCTGTTTCACTTCTTTCAAGGCGTCTATGGACAGCTCGTTGAAAGCGTCCAACGACCCTTGAAGCAGTGCAATATCCTCACTACCAAGACATTGCTTGAGCAGGTCGACATAGCGCTCGATGTGAAGCAATGAGTTTTGCTTTTGGGAAACCGACGTCGCTCGCAAGACCGAGAGCCTTGCTAGCGTGCACTTATTGGTGGCTTTTGCAATGGATAGCAGCCGTCCTGCGTAGGCGATGAAGAACTCTTTGTTTTGGGCTTGAGCCTGATTCGGAATGATATGGCCAAGGGTTCTTTGGACGAGCTCTCGCAGGAGCTGCAATGCTGCATCTGTTTCGAGATTTTGACGATGCAGCTGTTCTGCGACGTCGAATATCACGTCTGCGTCGGTAGAAACTTTGGCTGTTGCATTTGGAACATATTGGAGATGTGCCATGACGCTTAAGGGTACTACTGTGTCGCTCTGTCCGAGGTCGAGGAGTTCGGTCGTGCGGTCCAGTATGGCTTGTCTTTGCTCGCGGGACAAAGCCGAAGGTTGAATATGAAGTATTGCTTCGCCGACCACAGCAGGCATCTTGTTTCCGGCTCCCTGACCGAGAGCCTCCACAAGAGCTGCACAGTATGCGTCTTGTATGACGGAGTTTCCATGCTCGAGGATGGACTGAGAAAGTGATTGACAGATGAGATCCCTGGTAACGCCATCGAATTGAGGTAGCTTCGATAGTAAGGCATGCAAAGATTGGCGGCATGTATCCTTATCTGCGTGCTCGAGGAGACTGATAGAGTATGCGCAGAAAACTTGGATCATCTTCTGCTGTGCGTCGGGTTCTAGCTGGTCGGAAGTCAGTGAGCTGATCGCCTTGCCTAAACCACTGCGAATAATATCCTCCGAACCGGACAGGGTCTGAAGACGATCACAAGTGTTAAGCCAGAACAATGTTGCAGCAGCTCTTGCAGATGCATCTGCGCCTTCGCCGGCGTCTCGGCGCCCTGCTGACTTGACTTTCAGAGCTTGTTCGAGCAGCGGGTAGAGTAGCTCATGTTGCAGCGGGGATGATGCGTGAAGCTCGATGGGCCACAACTTCTCTAGTAGCTGGCACAGTGTGAACCAGGAGAGGTGGGCCTTGGTGTAACGGCTGTAATTGAGTTCCTGAACCCATGTCTTGTATGTGAGGAACAAAGCATGAAGCTCAGATTTAAGTGCTTCGATCGTGTTCTCGGACTGGATTGATTGGAGAAGAGCCGGCAGCAGGACAGCACTGCTTGCTGCATTCTTGTAAGCGGCGAGTTTCCTAACCTTGACGTTCTCTTCGGCGGAGGTCTCGATTGCCACAGCAAGCTGCGCCAGGCGCTCCGCATGCTCCTGAATCAGTGTTGTTATCTGGTTCTGGGTCAAGGATGGTTCGAGAGACTCCGCTAGAGCATTGTGCAGGGCGCGATCTTCCCAAATGATTTCCTGTCCGTCCTTGAGAGAATTGCGCTTGCCGTGCCTGTAGCTCTTGACCAACTGCTCATCCCATCTCCGGATGAAGCCGAGTAGATTCCTGTGGCGCACAAACGCCAGCATCAGTGGGTTGATGATCCTCTCCAGAATTTCAGCGCGACCTAAAGGAGCACCAGCCTCGTTGTTGGATGCAGTATGTCGCTTTTCTTTAGAGGCAATGGCTGTCTGCTTGTCGGTAAAGCCTGTGCCCTCCAACTCTGAAGCCGTTATCTTCTCGAACAAGAACTCAGTAAGGTCAGTCTGACGCTCTTGCGTGACTTTGGCTCCCAACTTCGACTCCACAAAGACCGATGAGTCGAGCTGAATCAGAGATGCGATGAAGGACCAATGCACCTGCTTCTCCTGGCGTTCGGGGTACTTCACACCACAGTGATACCAGAAGATCTTTTTGACAAGGTCTGCAGAAAGGCTTACTTCATGCGCTTGCAGAACGTGGATAGCACCGCTAAGCGCAGTAACGGCCGTCGGCCGTGTGATAAACTTCGGAGGTGTTGTTAGCGAGCACCCAGCACACTCAGCAAGCGCTGAAAAGACAGCTTGTATCCAAGGCTTCTCCATCGCCCTGCTCCTGGGCGTCCGTGATGGAGAGGCGCGGATTGCTAGATCGAGCACATGAGGGACTGTGTTGAAAAGAGATGCGAGCTCTGTGGGTAGCGCGTCGCCACCATCTTCAATCTGCGCAGCCTGGAGGAGCTTTGCGCGGAGCGGTTCCAGGTTACTTGCAAGGACTGTGGTATCTCGGGCGTTCGGACCAACATCGTTAGAGCCTGTAGCGACACTGACATCTGCAAAGAAAGCTGCTCTTGAAGGTGCGAGCAGGTGTCTCGCCAGAAGCTTGTCGAGCGCTGCGATTGCGCGATCAAGGGTTCTCTGAGAGCCTCTTGTTGTACCATCGCTACGCATCGTTTTGAGAAGTTCCAGCAATGTCAAGATAGGTACAAGGCACTCGGTGTTGAACTCCTCGGCGGATGCCCCAGTCTCGTCTTTGACCTCAGCGGTCCGCAGGTCCCACATGTCGAGCGCAAGCGACAGGTTCAGGTATTCGTCCAAAGAAGTA